TACCCACACCGGTATTCGAAAATATTGATCGAATCACATACGTAAGTACAGTATTAATTTCGTTAAACAGAGTGGCTCGAGAGAGCCAATGTCGATTGCGGAAGTCTCAATCAGTTGGTAAACTGTGCCTGAGCACCATCTTCAGTATGGAGTGATTCAACCGATTGGGCAATACTGAGTTGAGGCTTGGAACAGGCCGGACTGTCCACAGAACTCGAACCACCAGAGCTAACTGGGTTATGTCAGTAGCAAACCTGTAATCGGCTGCCACGGAGTGTATTGTTCACCTCCCGAGTTGGTCATTGCAAAAGAACATGAAGAAGTGTACAGAAGGGTTGAGTCTGGCAGCACAAGCCATCATCTTAAATATGGGCATCGGGAGCAACGGTATCATGAGTCAGTAGTTCAGACGAACATGGCGCAGTTACGGACTGAGCGACGTTTACCAGTCCGGCTCCCTGAATGCGGTGCATTGTTTTTCCAAACGATCAGTTCCCTCATCGATCTTGTCCAATCTTTTCGGAATTCACTCCCATTGTTATACGCACCTCCCCATTTTCACACCTTTTCTACATGAGATCATCATTATGATGACATCGCTTATGGTGAGTAGTTTCGGAGAGTTATGGTGAACAGACCACTTATGATCGAAGGGTTTGAACTGGCTTAAGCTGGTGTTCCAGATTTCATCTATTCATCGAGCTCCGTAATTGGTTTGCAAACGTTTAATTACCAAACGAGGTGACTTCCCCAGTGCGTTAATAGGTCGAATGTAGTCCGCTGATTTGGTCGTCGATTTATACTTGACCTGCAAGTGATTCCATATCTCGGAATATCGTTGGAATCGACTGGGATCTCATGATTTCAGGTGTTGAATGCAAATCGGTTTATGTAGGATTTCATTATGGAAAGGTTTGGCTCTTGACGCAAGAGCCTGAAGAAGCACTTGCGTGAACATCGAAACGTTGCCATAATATAATTCTAAAAAACCGATTTGTATGTAAAACCTTCTGAAATCAAGACCTATAAGTGACTTTTGCGTTGACCTCGATCGGTGCCTCGTGACCTTCACCCGATTGCCTGAGGTCTCTGATTGGCACGAGCGATCTGTGAGGTGGCTCCATCCTGGTTGTTGCGGTTGTGCTGTTGATGGTTCGTTTGGCTGTCCGCAAGGGTTTTCAAGCCGTTTTAATGCTCTCCATCTTAACCTTTGATAAACCAGGTCAAATCAGTTGACCACATTCGATCCAAAAATGTACTAAGGAAGTCACCATATTTGGTGGTGAAACGTTGACAAAGAAATTACAAAGCTCAGAAAACTGGTGAAACCAGAACGATCAACCCGAGCTACCAGTGTGTAAAGTAATTCTGAACTGATGTTTTCAGGATGGGCGATTGGTCTCAATCGTGATCGCATTGGATGCGTGGCGATAGCTTAAGGTGACGTTTTGAAGTCTCTCACAAGTGACAGGTCTACACAACGGAAATTACGTTGAACCAAAATCGAGTTCTGCGGACAATACGTGCAACAAGGTAGGTGCAGTCAAGAAAATGAAACAGTATGACATTGGCATACTCGCAGAAGCAACATTCCAGTGTGCACCCGCAGACATGGCTTTTGTGACAGCGATCAGAAATAAGCAATCCAGGCGAATTGGTGAACGTATTTGTTGTGTGGGCCTACCGTCACGCATACACATGGCTGGTGGAAAAGAGAATAAAGTGCGTGACACTGTAGCCCCGATTTGGCTCCTTAGAATATTGAATGTTGAGAAAATGCGGCGGGATGCCTTTGTGTAGCTACATCTAATAGCTTTTAAGCAAAACTACCTATTATGATAGTGATTAATCTAGAGAACTCAAGTCGGAGAAGTGCGAGTCCACGAGTTTCCTAAATGCCGACACCGACTTTGCTTCAACTATGTCTGCAGGCAGGTTGTTCCATACATTCACCATCCTCTGCTCGAAGTAGTTGGTGAGCGACCCGCTTCAAATCCGGTACTACAAGCTTGTACCAGTGTCCTCGTGTGCTGCTTCTTGTGCACAAATGAAGCAGCGGTCACAACATGGAGTAATCACCCAGATGTGATATCCGGTGCGTCATGATGAGGTCAACCCGCATTCGACGAAAAGACACGGTGTACAACACTAGTCTCTTGCACATCTAGTAAACCGGAGGTGAGCCTTGTGGTCATTTGCTGTACCCGCTCAATACTTTGCACCTCTCCCCGAGTGAGCGGAGAGTACGCGGATAAGCTATACTCTAGCATTGGTCAGATGATAGCATGGACAATATTCGTTGATGCAAGGCTAAAATCCCTACGGCTCTTAGCACACAGGGATGCGTGAATGAGGTATGCGGAAAACATGAGGAAAACTACGAGTGGTGAGCTCAAGCCACGCAACACGCCGGTGGCCCAAATGATCGTGTGCTTGCGTTGTAAGCCTGAGAGTGCGGATTCGAATCCGCGTAGGTGCGGGAGGCCTCGCAATATACTCGGCTTTCACTGCTGATGGCGATTGCGTTGTAGTGAAGCCTTGGTATAGTGTATTGGCGAACCATCTTTCTGATTCAGCGGTGACATAACCCACAAGCTCGGAGACCTGGAGGATTGTGCGGATCGTTCCGCTTTATCAGACACAGCCGGATTACATCTCGGTGATTTGGCGAGGAGCCAAAGAAACCGTCGGGTATGCGCGATTGAGAAATGAGCCAGGAGCGATATCCCGGGGAAAGTAAGAATTTAAGGGAAAAATCAGTATTTCAATGGCTCATCGATTGCAATCCACTGCCGCATCGATTTCGAACTCACTGGAATGTTGCAACACCGGCGCGTGACTGGCATTCTCCTGAAGTTTGGCTGGATCAGCATGGCACTGCCAATCTTGGTAGTTTACCTAGTTCTAGAAGTCGAAGGTGGTGAGGCGAACTATAAATATTACCAGGAGCTGCCACGTTTGTGAAGTTCTAGTTTAACGGCGGTTATCGTATTATTTTGGGTAGGGTCGTTTTGACTTTTTCCTTCGTTTGGGCTTGAGGTCGTGCGAAATAGGTTAAGTGCATGTTTCGGAATCGCAACAAGCGAGAAGATTTAACAAGTAAGAGAACGATCAACGTGAATTTGCTCCAACCCAAAACGTGTGACAGCAAAATGGCGACCGACCAACCGACGTACACAGGCAGCAGTATGGGGTTCGTTCGGAGGGCATCCACGGTACCATGGACACTATTTGCACGGATGCAGGACACCGAGTGAATACTCATTGGCAAAAGCGAAGACAAAAAACTGGATGAACCGTATATAAGAAAAATAACGCTAAATATGAGTCAGTACGGTGCCATTCCCAGTATGAACTATGTCCGATGCGACGCATGGATACTGCCACATTAGCGGCTGCAGCGTGCGCTAATCCTGAATGGTTATGGACGGGGAGGTCAAGTATGGTTAGCTGATCAAGAACACTGGAGGATGAGATTAGAGCCAGTAACGAAAGCGAAGGATGTTGTAGGTAGCCCACTTGGATTGAACGAATGGAAATCAACATAGATCAATTGTGTAGTAATGTGAAAAATCCGACGAACACACGCGAACTGAGAAGGACCGCGTGTGTGTCACGATGTTGATGCAGTGACTATGCTAAAACGCGCAGGGTAACACAGAGTGGCACTGTGCCTCAACGTCTAATACTCACTTATCCGGGACTAGGTGTGAGATAGTACTCTGGAAAATGTCGGTCACACCAATTCACGCTTGACTATGTAAGGACAAATTACCAAGTGTACAGATGTGTGTTCAACTGTGCGGAGGCACTCAAATGCAATGATGGCGATGATTGGAACAGAAAAAGAGAGCGATTGCGGATCAGAGTGAAAATCACGAGGATGTAGCTAGTTAGAACAGCAAGAATGTTTCCGTTCCTGGCCCAGCCAGCAAAACGTAGAATAAAACATCCGATGGAAATTTTAAAAGTTTCAAAAAACAGTGGGGTTGAGAGAAAATCAATGAAACAGCCGGGTGGTAAGACCGCAGATGCAACATACCGAATGCAATCAGAAGAAAAACACGACCCTGAGGGAAAACGCACTTTTCGAGGATTCCTAGATCCAAACATTGGATAAGTATGGTAGCCGACAATACAGCAGAGTAAGTGGAAGTTCGCCTGGGGGAACCTATCCAGAAGCTTTACTCGAAGATGCAGATACAAAATAGTGGGTAACGGCGGAGAACCACAAGGATCTGTTTGGCGCCAGTTACACACGGCCTGGGTTGTAATAAACAATCATAATCCGAGTGTTGAAGGGAGGCGGGACCAGTTGCTATGAGGAGCAACTATCATCGTCTGCGTAATGTAGGATACGCTTGTAAATCTTGGTTAACTAAAGATGGACAACATTTTGTTTATATTCAATGTTTGTTTGAACACCAATCCCTGATACTTAAATCTGCAATTCCCGAGCACAGAGCAATAACAGGTGAAAAGTCATCCTCATACGAACTAGCCCAGCCATTTCGGAGGGCAAAGATAGAGCTTAGAGGCAGTAGAAATGTTGATCCATAAACTGGTTAGGCATAGAGCATCCGGGTTGTCCAAGCCGGGAGCCATTGAGGGGAGGATGGTGTCACAGAGAGTAACAATGTGGTCGGAAAAGTAGCGTTGAGTGGATAAGGAATATGTCCGGTTCGTCTTTATTTGTATATTGATCTGACTGTGACGTACGCAATCCTGTGGGCACAGACTACGATCACTCAAGAAGATGATGTCGCAAAAAACTGCAGATTAGCAGAGCCTCAGTTGTTATAATAAGGTATGTGATTTCTCATCTAAATACTCCTGACAAACGACCTCAACAAAGCCATAAGTAGCCTAAAGTAATCTTAAAGAAAACTAGGTTACTTTGGTTTAAGCGGTGACCAAATCGATTCCCACAGCACAAAAGTGGTGACAATACCTCACAGATAGGACATATGCAGCAAAGACAAATAAAGTATCGCACTTACATGCATCTTCTTCCTCTTCCTCGTGGTCCGCGGTAGAACTTGGAGCCATAATCGACTCACATTCCATGCTGCCGTGATGAAATGGACAAGAGTAAAGATGGTAAAACATGGAAACGTATCATCTGTTAGGCACAAGAGGAGGAGGGTTCGGACAGTTAATGATGTACAAATGTATATTATGCCTGAAAATTGAGCCAGCTCAGCGTTAGACCAGAGGAGAGGATAGTTGGAACCCTCACCGAAATCGATTCAGAGAGGACAAGGTAGTGTTTTCGTGAACAACCGACGTGCTACAGAAATCTCACGTGCATGTCCATACCTGGCATCTACACAGATGCTCCAAGGTAAGAGTAAACAAACCCAACAGACGACGGCGGCCAAGTACCGTTAGGTAAGTAGCAATAAATAAATGAAATACGTTGACATTCCGCTGTCAAACAAGCGAACGTGGCGATGTTGTTCTACCAGTAAGCAAAGCAGCATAAAACGCAAAATAACCCCGAATAGCTAAGCAGATCGGATCAGAGTCTACGTTCGCGAAGATGATGCAAGTCGATTCAACCAGTTTCCAGCGGCAAGCCAAGTTAGTTAGACACAAGAATGTCATTGCATGGGCACTGGGCTTAGCTTTAATCGAAGAACGGATGGGTGAAATACCTAACGGGACGAGTCACGAACAAGGAAGAAAAGAACTTGAAAGCACAGCAGTCCATGACCAGTTTCGAACATATTTGACCTCAGCAGATATTGACAGCAGGTACCCGAAGCGAGAGCTTTCGAGATGTTAGCCGAGACCTCTGCTTTCAAGCCACCGAGTCACAACGAGCAACGCTTGTCCCAACACTTACTGACTGATTAGAGAGTAAATTTGAAATGTTCGTTGTGTGAATGGATTGCGACGCGCAATCTCAATGTGGACTGGGATTCGCAGTGAAATAAAGTATGGTCAATTCCATCACTAAGACCGTGGCTGATGATGCAGCTAGATAATGGATTTTGAACTGAAAATGGACGACTGAGCAGAACAGACCCAACAGCGTGGGGACTTGCTCTCCACTGCCTTGTGGGTCAGACTGTGAAATCAAAGGCTAGAAGTAGAACACCTCGAACAAAACCGCTCTCTCAGAATGGGCATTCCGAGAGCATCATTTGCCCTCTCGACCACGTCGACAACACTCACTACTTCTCGTATTTCCCTCGCCCATCACCTTTCTTCTTCCCCGTCTATTGAACAAGAAACTGCCGCTGACCTAGCTGGCTGCTGCCCTCTATAGAGGTAGCTCTTCCAACAAGCCTAGAATTTCATTTCACGTTGGTCCTTTTAACGTCCGCACTTTAGGTCAGATCAGCCAGCAGGTAGCACTGACTCTCACTCTTCACTCTCTTGGTATTGACGCGTGTTGTGTCTCCGAAAAACGCATCAGCATTGTGGCGAATCATCGACCCCATGGTTCCGAATCTGACGACGATGGCTACATTCCTCGCGTCTCTGGCGATACTGAGTTAATGGCTCAATGTGTTTACGGTGTTGCTATTGCCCACTGCAAATATGCTGAAGGTAATCTGCTCGGTCGGGTACCGATGAACAGCCGCATGTGTGCGGGTCGACTTCGAACCTTTGTTGGATATAATGAGCACAGTTTAAAGACAAGGTGACTTTCCATCACCGTGTATGTGCCTAATGAATGCACTTCAGAAGGTATCAAAGAAAATTGCCACCAACAGCTGTCATCACTTCTCCGTAAAGCGAAGAATAAGGATATCGTGATTGGCACCGGTAACATGAATGCCCAGGTGGATCGTCTTTCAGACTATGAACAGCATCTGGGAGGTCGCTTCGGAGTCGATGCACGACGAACAGACAATAAGGATCGATTCCTGCAACTGTTCGCCGGCCACAACCTTTACTTTAGCAGCACTGTTTTGCAGCACAAAAGTTCATACCGTGTCAATTGGTGCCCACCGAACTCCTCAACGACCCGGACCAGAAGTGCCATCAGCTACAGATGGCGCACATCAGGCCAAGACTGCCAGTCTATTTGGAGCACGTGCGTAGATTTCGACTATGCTCTAGTGCTCTCACGCTTGGCGCTCACTCTCCTCATTTCAAAGAAGCGCCTAAGATGCTTATCTGTAACTTGAACTCGGAATTTGCCGTTCAGCAATATCCTGATAAACTGACCCACCGATTGTCCGTAATGAATGAGGTTGGTGAACTGAATGCGGACTGGGATCATCTCAAATGTGCCACGAAGAATGTCTTTGAGTCCCGTTGTGCACCCCACTTGAGACGTCAAAAGTGAGAATAGAGCTCTGAGGCATCGATCAGCTTGGTCGAAGCACGGAAACAGGTTCCAATGGGCAGTGAGTTTCAGCGGATGCTAAAACGACAACTGACAAGGAGTCTTCGAATTGACCTGGAACGTTGGTGGATGGCAAGGGCCCGTGAGATGGAGAAAGCCGGTGCTATTGGGGACAACCGAGTGCTATTCCAGCTCATCCGGAACAAGAGCTCGAGAAAACCGTTAGATAGCGAGACAATAGTTGAGTAATGTTGACAGTTGATCCATGCTCAACATCGTCGACTAGCCCATTGGGCGGAACATTTTGAAGAGCAGTCCAGCAGGTCTGCTGCGAAACTGCCGCCTACGCAATTGCCTGAGCCGACGTGAGAAGTAGATGTCGCACTTCCCACTGTGGAAAAGATTAGACATGAGCTTTCCGTGTTAGGACCCGACGATCTTCCTCCACCATTGCTGAAAGATGGTGGTGAACCTTTGTTGACTGGAATTGCGTCTCTTTCTAACACGATTAGGAACACGGAAGAGGTGACTTCTAATTGACGACTGTTAACCGTCGTGCCCATCTTCAAGTAGGGTCAGCGTATTATTAATTACTGGCCCTTGGAGTGCCCACTGTGTGTCCGGATGGCAATACGCAATTTCGACTGAGGCTACAGTTTGCTTTGAAGCAAACCTATGCCATTTCGATCACAGGGATCGCATCCGAAGTGGGGAGTTTCGGAGCTGCTTTCTCCCAAAACTGCACCCCACAGCGTTAGGAGAAAGCAGCTCCGAAACTCTCCACTAGGGTCAGTGTACATTATGCGAAAACTGTTCCCTCCAAACATCTCACGGGCGTTACTCTCCGACCATTTATTGGTCCCTGTTAGAACCGAATCACTGAAAACCAAGCTGGCTTCCGCCCTGGTCGTGGTTGTCTAGACCCCATATTTAGTCGTCGCTAAGTCTTAAAGCAGACACGCATACAGACGACCTGGAAGCTACCTTCAATTCTGTTGACAGAAGCAGCTTCTAGCACTGTCAATAGGGCGTGCCGGCTAAATTCCTTTTCATTCCTAAGTTTTTCAACTGCGATTCCCGAAACTGTGTAAGGGTCTACGGGAAATTCTCTCCTGAGTTCCCCACGACAAGTGCGGTTCGCCAGGGTTGCCTATATCACTTTTCCTTTCAGACTCTACCAGAGTGGAAGCTCTGCCAGGTGACCGACTGAAAAATCTGGAGTATGCGCACGACATAGCTCTGCTTGGGTCTGACACAGCGGTTATGCAAACACAAGGAGATAGACCGATGCGTTTACTGCACGCTTCGGCATGTGCTTTGCACCTTCAAAGTGCAAAATACTGCAACAGGACTGGATCGACACTTCCGGTTCTAGCTAGCAACGAACAGCCACTGGAAGTTGTGGATCGGTTCACTTACCTTGGCAGTTGTATCACCTCTGGTGGTCACATCACTGAGGAAGTTACTTCACGTATCAGTGGGGGATCGTGTGGCTTTCCAGAGGCTCAACCATTAATGGGAACAGTGGGATCTCATCCTGTCAGTGAAAGGTAGGGTGTATAACGCTGCAGTAAGACCGGTCTTACTGTATGGATCAGAGATTTGGCCAGTGAAGAGATTAGACGTTAGGCCGTGTTTGACCAACGGTGCTCGCAGAGTATTGCTCACGTCTGATGGGAACATCGAGTGAGCAACGCTGTGGTCTGCCAGTTGGTTTTGGGCAAGAAGCCTTCTGATGCCTCACTGGATCGTGTATTGAATCTTAACCGCTTACGTTGACTGGATCATGTCCTCCGTTGACCGGCTTGCTCGGGGTACAATATACGCCATGACTGCACCAAGTTGGGTGAAACCGCGAGGTGGCAAGCCGATGAAGTGGAATAAAACTATGAAGTAACTGACAGAGAGACTTGGTCAGGCTGATGTGTGCCGTCTTCATGGAGGGGGGCCTCGGAATGGTCCACACCAATGGTGAAACCGTATCAGAGATGACGCAGGCAAGCAGTGGAGTGTCTGCATCCAGTTTAGTACATCTGGTTGTTAATGTCCATTCTGATTAATTCAGTGCACTTCCTTCTTGCTTCCCTTTTCTTTGCGTTTTCTTTTCATTCGTCCCCGCTATTTTGAGGTGGTTATTTACTGTTGTTCTTGCAATGTGAATCGTGGTAACTGGATCCACCGCACTTCGGCGCTTGTTCAACTGAACTGAACTGTGATTGTTGGTAATAACAGTAGCAACATTATTAACAAAGAAACCAACGGCCGAGGAAGGAACCAACAGTTTATAATCTATGCGAAAGGTTACACTCGAATGGAAAACGAGAAAAATGCGTGCGGCAACTTGTCCATCCTGCTTCCCCTACCCATGTGGAACCAAGCTCCCAGAAAACCGTTGAAGCAGCCTGAGTCAAGAGAAAGTAAGAGCCGGATAGTTTCCTAATAGCTGGAGTGCGACGATTCTGCTCCGAAGGGCAAAACGGAAGCGCATAGCTTCTATGCATAGCTCAATGTGACAAGTTAACAACTGATTCAACGAATAGAAAATGAATCTATGTATTCGGTTTAACAAATTGATTAAATCAGCTATGCGCCATAAATACCAAGTTGTTGTAACGCGGTGCGGCCTGCTCGCTCTCAACTGGTTGATTCACACCCGCTGCGAAATCTGCCCCCTTACGCTTGCTCTGGTTGACGCCTTGGCAAACCGGACCGGAACGTAGACAGAAGACTACTCAGCAGACCAGAGTTGTATTAAGGCAAGAAAC